ATTTTGAATGCAAGATTTTAATAATCAAACGTTTTTAATAATCAAACGTTTTTAATAATCAAACATTTTCAAACTGCAAGCGAGGGACAAGCAATATCATCTACAGCATGTAGTCTTAAAATACTACGATCTTTTCTAGCAGCACTAACCACTAGCGTATAATTTGTCCGCCGACATTACAAATTTCTTCTGCTGCAACACATAAAATGTTGAACAGTTTTCTCGAATGGTTGTAATAACGTCTGTATGTCCTTGCATTATTAATTCGTTAAGGTATTGCTCACATTCTCATTCTAAAATAATAATCTTATTAAAAAATGTTTATTCTTCTTTAAAGAAAATACTGTCTCAAATGTTCTTCTTTCAAGAAATTTTGACAGACTTGGAAGAAAGAGTTTATATATAGAGACAAAAAACTTATCTTAATTTTTAAAATATATTTTAAATTTCTTTAATGCATTTAATGCGCCTGTGAGTATAAAAATGCAATTTGTCTTTCTAAATATGATAAATATTATTTTTTAAAAGACGATAATAATCAACAGCAAGATGTTTGTGTGTGATAAAAAATTTACAACGTAAAAATCCATTACAAATATATATAATTATATGTAAAATATGTCTGTTTTATTAATAATATTCACGATGTTTGAAAAGATAAATTGAATTTTCATATTCACACGCGTGTGGCCGGGGCGAATTAAAAAAGAGGTGTAGCCTCGGAGGGTTAATGATGCAAGGGCATGCAGACGTTGTTACAATCGTTCAAGAAAACTGTTCAACATTTTATGTGTTGCTGCAGAAGAAATTCGTAATGTTGGCGGACAAATTATACGCTAGTGGCTATTGCTGCTAGAAAAGATTGTAGTATTTTAAGGATACATGCTGTAGATGATATTGCTTGTCCCTCGCTTGTAGTTTGAAAATGTTTGATTATTAAAAACATTTGATTATTAAAATCTTACATTCAAAATAACGCTTATAGCAGATAAACAAAAATTTTGTCTGTATTTGACATTACACTCGTGAAAATTAAGCGTGTAAAAAATCTGCAAAAGAAATGTAAACGTGCAAAGAAACTATTGTCAATAACATCACACATACACACACAGAAGAAAATGTAAATAATTGATTTCTTTATTATTACAATAATTTGAATATTGAAATTATTTTGTACCATATGCTTTCTCACACTTATATGTATGTGATTAATAATAAAACATGTTAATGACAAATAATAAATTACAAGAGCGTATTCTGGTTTGAAAGATCTTAAGGATGTTCTCCAGAAAATCGATTTTCTCTAGATTTTCTTGAAACTGTGAATATACATTAATTTATAGGTGTGCTTTATGTGTAGTATAAATTTTAGTACTTCTTGCGGTATTAAAAATCGAGCTTCTGAGCTACTGAGCTTCAAAGTTTTAACTTTTAACACGGAATTCCTATTCCGAGGTATTGTGAAACAGACATTTTAATAAATTGTGAAAAAAATTTTTTCTAAATGTTTTTGAAAGACTAGTATATGATGCTTTATAAAAATAGAAATTAATAATATGCGATAAGTTTCAATACCTTTGCGGTACTCGTTTTCGAGAAATACTTGTAACGTACGCGATTTGAAGTTAACTTCTTATTTTTTAGTTGTTATATGTAATATTTAGTAAATTAACTTTAGTAAAATAAATTTTTCTTTTTAAGCATGAATATAAGTTGAGTATGACTGGAGCCGGAGAAGGTCTTTAAAAATAGATATTTTTCAGGAATTTTTTATAGGGGAACGAAGAAAGCGAATAACGTTAAACTTTGCATGTTCTTTTAATCTTACTTTAAAAATCTATTTTTATTTTTTAAGTAAGAAAAATATTCTTTTTTGTTACTTGTATGTTATATCTTGATCACTAAAAGACGTAAGTATGAGAAACAAAGTAAATGATTCTAGCTGTTTTAGGTATCAGAAACGTAAAAACCAAAAATTTTCTTATTCAAAATAAGTGATATGGCTATTGTCTGAACTAGAATAAACATTTTCTTTTAATAAAATAGTAATAAAATTTTTAAAAAAGTTACATTTTTAATAAAAAAGCCGCTCAGAATGGAAATATTGATTTAGTTCTAGTTCAGACGATAGCCACATTTCTCCTGCAGAATAAGAAAATTTTAGCTTTTTGCGTTTCAGATACCTAAAACAGCTAGAATTATTTACATCGTCTGTCATTTATAGTGAACCAGGATATAACAAAAAAAAGAGCATTTTTGTTACTTAAAAAATAAAAATAAATTTTTTAAATAAAGTGAAGAAAACATGCAAAGTTTAACGTTATTCACTTTCTTCGTTTCCCTATAAAACATTCATGAAAAATATACATTTTAAAGATCTTTTAAATTAGAATATCTCCGTTAATAATTCTTTATATTCTCTTCCTGACGTGTGTGTGAAGCTATCGTTTCATTTTGCAGAAACTCACAAATTATTGAGAGTTCTGGCTTCCTTTTCAATAGTTCTAGAGTTTTTGATAGTTTAAACAAATAGTTCTGGCCATTAAAGCCATAAAAACGCGTCAGTACAAACTGAGACGCTATTATAGGTTCACGCAGCGTCTCACTTTGTCCTACACAAGTTCCACCACTGTATCTCATCAGATTTTGCAAGATCTATCTTAGTTCTATAACAGTTTTATAAAGAGTTCTGCCATATAAAAGCAAAAAAATTAATTATAAAGTACTTAAAAAAAATTACAATGCAACGAGTATACCGAGTTGAGACGCCAGTTGAAATCTCGGAGTTCCGGTTTATGTAAAATATTTTTCGAGTAGTTTTGAGCATATTGAAACATTTTCTAAAGAGTTCCGAGCGTTAGAATCTTTGTGTTATATTAAAAAAAATAAATATTAACTGAAAAATAATCATGACAGAAGAAGATGAGACGCTGTGCGAAATCTCGGAGTTTTGGCTTATATAAAATATTTTTCGTATAGTTCTGAGCATACTAAAGGCTGATCTACAATGTGCTCTTTGCTTTCTGTTTTTTGCTCTTAACCTCTTTGCGACTATCTCGTATTTCGCAATTCCGTCGCGTAACGTGATGTTTCTTGTCTTTTCTGAAATTTGTCAATTTTTATCTTAGGCGACAGAGAACAAAAAACATCGCGTTACGCAACGCAATTGCGAAATACGGGATAGTTGCAAACAGATTTAAGAGCAAAAAACAGGAAGCAAAGAGCACATTGTAGATCAGGCTTAAAGCATTTTCTAAAGAGTTCCCGCCACTAGCTACGTTGTATATATATGTTTATTAACTTTAGCAAACAATAGCTACGTTGTATAATTTTTAAATACATTAATACCGCTCGAAAATCAGGAATTTATCGAAAATAAGCTGAAACGCTGGCCGTATTTCGACAGTTCTGTGAGTTCTGTTATAATTCTCGTGTAGTTCTGAACGTGTTCTAACGTTGTCCCATTTTATTCTGGCAATAAGCATTATTTATTCATTTTTTAAATAATTTTTATCGCTCGAGAAAGACCCTATTCTCGATAAATTTCTGACTTTCGTGCGTTATTAATTTATTTAAAAATTATACAACATTGCCAACGTCCGGAACTCTTTAGAAATTGTTTTAGTATGTTTAGAACTGTACGAAAAATATTTTATATAAGCCAGAACTCCGAGATTTTCTACAGCGTCTCACTCATATACCCGTAAATGCGTCTTTCTTGGGAGATAAAAATTATTTAAAATATAAATAAATAATGCTTATCGTCAGAACTCTTTAAAAAACGTTAGAACACGTTCAGAACTATACGAGAATTATAATAGAACTGACTGTTACCCATGTGTATTGTTTATTTAAGAAAGTGTTTTTATTTTTATCCAATTATCCTTCTGTTGTTGCTCGTAATTTGGCCGCTTGAACATGCATTAAATAAAATAAATTTAATAAAAGTACGAGAAACATTATAAACTACCATTTTTTTTTCAATATAGTTAATAATATAATTATTGATATGCATTTAAATATTAAATTTAAAATTTATTATGCTAAAGTAAAGGTTTTTAATGTAAAACTTTTTTAGATAGAAAAGCATAGAACGGTGATTTCTATACATTACATTTACGAATTTTAGTTTTTATGTTTATAAATATTTATTTAATTAATTATATTTGCAATCTTTATATATTTATAAATTTCAAATTTATATACATATATATACAATATATATATATTTTTAATTTATTTAATTATAAATATAAAAGCTAAAATATGTAAATATACACGCAAATGTAACGTATAGCGGGTATAGCGTATCGTCGATTTGTCAACTCGAGACTCGGCGAGACACGAGACACAATACTCGAAATGCGTGGCATCGTGGTATAGCCGGCCCGTGCAAAGCGGCAACGTCACAGCTCAAGAGAGACAGCAGATCGTATGTCTGCCCTTCTCTCCCTGCTCGAAGCTTGCCGAGTGCCTAGCGTACACACGGACAGAGGAGGGGCTTGCGCGACCAGCATATCCCTTCCATCTGAGTAGTTCGGACACGAACCATAGCATGGATACGAACCCATGTATCGTTACCCGAGTCCTCTCTGATCGTTACCGAGCGTAACGCCGTAGTTGACGTCCACTTTCTCAGAGGGCAGATTAGGGGCGGTATTCATAGTCGATGTTTAAAAATAAGAATTTCTTAAGAATGGTCTTAAGATGGCGTTTCGATTCATAGAGAGGCAATAAGATCGTATTTTAGTAACTGCTTAAGAGTAAACTTCAGCAAGACTGTCTTATTACGGAATATCTTATTATGATTTATAAATGCATCTCATATGCCATAAGCACAATCTGAAGAACTCCTCAAATGAAACGATATTCATAGTCCTTTAAGACGGCCTTATCTGTTCACAAAAATGGCAAATAAGGCGTCTTATTCCAAGTCAGGTTCGTAGACCTCTTAAGACAATAGTTTTATCGAAAAACTTTCTTCTGACTAGTGTTCACTTTGAAAAAGAATAGTTTGCAAGAAGTATAAGGAAATCAAAGGTTTTTACGGCGCAGTTTTACACTATATTCTTGTGTTTAAATATACTGAAATACGTTTTGTTCTCTCTAGGTGTATCTAACCTTCAATTCGGAAGTCATATAGCAATATGGATAAATCTAAAAGTAAATCAAAACATTTTACATCAATTGAAAAAACACTATTTCTTGATATATTGAAAAGGTATAAGCATATAATAGAAGTGAAGAAAAGCGACTCTACTACGCTAAAAGATAAAGACGTAGCTTGGTTATAAATTTGTAACGAGTTCAATCTATCACATCTAAGCACGCAAGAGGTAAGAAAATTACATAATAACATTGATTTAATACTTATTAATATTTATTGATGTTTTTATAAAATAAATTTATTTATATTGTTTTTGTAACAATCAACAATTGTAGAGAAATGTCCAGCAATTAAAAAAGTTTTGGGCAAACTTGAAACAAAATCAAAGAGACGCTTTAACTAAAGAAAAGCAAGAACGGATGGCAACAGGCGGAGGGCCATCGATTAAATCGGTGGAAATTGACCCCGATATAGCATTAATAGCACCAAACTTGATGAAAACTGCGCCAGCAATTTACTTTTCTAATTTAAACGACGAAGAAGTCAAAAGTATACATCTTTTTACATTATATTAAAAATTTAATACCAAACACACTTTTAATTATTATATCTTAATATACATTTATAATATCTTGATATACACACGTTAATAACGTAACGAATCAATATAACGGTATGTAAAATATATTTTATACTTTTAGAACGAGAAACACTAATAATGGATTTTGTGGTCGAGGGTGATCTTGCAAATGTCGACCTTACATTAGAAGGCGATGAAGGCAATGTATATGACGACATGCTTGGTAACAACAACTGTTGTGAAATTTCGGACAGTAAGCTTGATCTTATCATCTTTAACCACGTACATAGGTATTAGACCATTAATTTGCCCAAAATTAATATTCTTATTTTTATAACAGAAGAAAACATTACACCTAACATACAAAAAAAAAATGCATGCAGAAAAAGCATCATTGCAGCCATCAGACAGCTCTTCGAGCTACATGACACCAAGCACTAAACATTTCTTAGGAACAGGTACACATTAATATTTAAATAATTTATAATAATGTTATTAATTAGTAATTTTATTTAATAATTTTATTATTATTACGTTTAAATTAATATTTAATGTAATTGATAACAATAACTCTCCAAAAACATATTTTATTATTTAATACTCTCTTTCTCCTTTTTATAGAATCAAAGAAGACACAGCAGAGTGGAGAGAAGTTATCATTAATAAAACGTGGAATAAAGCGTGCAATACCTTCCAATGATGACGAAAATGAAATTTCACTGAAAACACGAAGAATTCAAAAGCTTTTTGATCAGGAAGTGGAATTGAATACATTAAAAATAGAGCACGAAAAAAAATGTGTGCTTTAAAAGAGCAGCATTTGAAAGAAATGCAGAAGCACGAGTTACGTGCAGCTATAGCTACAGCAGAAATAGCCGAATTGCAGTTAACGATCACAAAAAAGTAAAAAACTTCCACACTCAAAATTTAATGTTACATGAAATATTAGATAGTAAGTTCATTTTTTGATGTATTAAGTATTACGATAAAGACTGAATTCTATTGCAATTATTAAGAGATAATAAGAAAGAGAGAAATAATATATTATATTGCGAGTATAAAGAAAAATTACTTACTTTGTAAACTTAAGTATCGAAGATTATTGAAAAAAGTACAAAAGGTTGTGTTTATTGAAATTAGTATTAAAAATTGTTCCTTTTAGTTTTTTATTTGTTTTAAGTAAACGGTTGTTTATTTTATATAAATATAAGTGTAATACATTTTACATACTTTATTATACTTTGCATATGTTTCTCGAACAAATTGATATTTGTATGTGCTACAATAAATTAAATAAATATAAACTCATACTTATATGTAACTTTCTTTTATATTTTATTAATTTAAGAGATGTTATTAATCCCAATTAGACTTATTCTGTCATATCTATACCAAATCAGTGAAAAATACATTCAACTGTTTGCCATTTAACAACCATTTCTGACAGAGGTCAGGTTTATCTCAATGGAATCATATATATACATATATTACAAAACATACGTATATAACCGGATGAATGATTTCTTTTATTCTGTAAATAATAAATATTATGTTACAATAATTTCAATAGTCCGCGTTTGTATTTAATAAAATATTTTATTTACGTTTACTTTTTTAATTAATAAAATAAACGTTGTATAAGTGCGTCTCTCATAATAAATCCATCTGCTGGTTGCCATTCTGGACGGTTCACATCATTCTCTTCATTATCATTATCATCAACGATTTCATTCTCTTCGTCATCTTGCGGTAATACATTATCGTAGGTAAGCGAAAGATTATGCAAAACTGCACATGCTATAATAATTGTTGTGCTGCATATCAGTTTTGTCGTTAGTCCTCGAGATAAGCAAGGAAATCGCCGTTTCCATACTCCAAATGTTCTTTCCACTATTTGTCTTGTTCGTCTATGAATATTATTGTAGGTTAGTTGTTCATCTGTTGTTGCATTTAGAACAGGAGTCAGAAGAAATGGCAGACAAGGATAGCCATTATCTCCAATCAATATGCCAGTTAATTCACGTCTCATATATCGCATATAAATTCTGGAATTTTGAAAGATACGACTGTCATGTTGGCTTCCTGGCCATTCTGGTATGATGTCCAGAAATTCCATTCGTGGTCCGACGATAGCCTAAATAATAATGTAAATATTATAAATATATATTTGTGTAATAAGGTTGCAAAAATAAATTCTATACATTCTCTATTGGATAAAATATTACGTACTTGTACGTTGAGAGAAAAGTATCCTTTGCGATTCCTGTATACTTCTTCAATATTTTCAAATCTGCATTGAGTCAAGCGAATATGAGTACAGTCGATAGCACCATCAACTCCAGGTAACCCAATAGCTCCATTTCCAAATCCCAAGTTCCGAAATAAAGTACGGTTTTCGTTAATTTGCTCCACAGAAGAAGGCATCTTTATAACACGGTGGATGTTTCCAGCAAGTAATACCGAAACACGAAAAATAATTCTTGAAAGAGTAGGCTGTGATATGCTTATTATATCCGTTAATACTAACTACAAGAAAATAAATAATTTTAAAATATACAATTATAACTAAAAGATATAAACCTATTTCTCTCTGCCTCTTTCAAATCTTATTACCTGAAAACTTGCAGTGGCGTAGAATCTTAGACACACAAGTAATTGCAACACAGGAGCAATAGGAAGACCTCGATTATTTATTTTAGCCAAACTTTCTTCTACTTTGGGTAAAAGACCATGTATGACAGCTTCTTTTGAAAATCGAAAGCGGCGTTTAAACTCTTTTCCATCATAAAACTGGAAAGGGTTTTGTCCATCTCGTATATAACGTTTCGGAGCACGCACAACAATTTCTTTTCTTTCATCTTCACTCTCGACGTCCAAAAAATCGGGAATATTATCCAAATCTCGCAAATCTATATCCTGCACGTTCATACTACAAAAAATTACATTTACAACACATATTTATAAAAAAAAATAATAATTTTACAAATATGTTTGTTCTATTTCGAAGTAAACATTAGTCAGAAAGTTCTTCGAAAAAGCTGTTGTAAAAGCAATATAAATGAATTTATTCTATAAAAATATCAATAAATATCAGTATTAATAAGTATTAAATCAATGTTATTATGTAATTTTCTTACCTCTTACGTGCTTAGATGTGATAGATTAAACTCGTTACAAATTTCTAAGCTACGTCTTTATCTTTTAGTAGTACAGTTGCTTTTCTTTACTTCTATTATATGCTTATACCTTTAACATATCAAGAAATAGTTTATTTTTTCAAATAATGTAAAATGTCTCGATTAATTTATATATTTTTTCATATATCTATATATAATTATAATACTGCTTGGTACTGTCATGTGACAATTTCGGTTTAAGGTTAGAAAACTTATTTCTGTCTAGATACGTTAATACAATGGTGTAAAACTGCGTCTTGAATCTAATGTTTTCATTGGAGGAACCAATGGAAATATCACGGAAATAGCCGACTACAGAATAAGCATGGTCTTAAGTACATCTTCACTAAGTTAATCTCAAATCAAACAAGACTCACTTCAGTGAAAACTTCTTCGCAAAGATTATCTTATTTCACGACTATGAAATCTATCAATCTTCAGACGGTCTGGTATTGCATAAGCAGACTTGATCAAGATCGTCTTAAGCGTTGACTTGAGATTGGACTATGAATACCGGCCTAGGACAGACGTCCCCCGAAGCCGGATGGCCGCTCTCAGGTTTCTCTCTGTCTATAATCTATTACAGCGCCGACGACGACGACGACGACGACGACGGCAACGTTGGGGAGGACGACGCGACGGTTCACGAGACGGTGTTCGCCTCGGAAATCCACCCGTGCCGATAGCGAGCATCAACGCGGACGTTGGATGCGCTCAACGCTCGAAGGAAGGTAAGTGGCCATGGAGGGAAGAGGCAGTCATATATAGATATGATTGCCTGGTATACTGGATACAAAGAAGAAAAATAAGAATTAAAGTAATTTAAATCGACCTGACTGGCAATATATA